GGGAGGACAGGAGCAGAGGGCTATCCTCTACCCAGAGCGCTGTTGCCCAGGTAAGCGCTCTTCCCCCGAGGAGGGATATGACAATATGCTGCCATCATTTTAACATGTAAATTTTTTTAAATGCAGTAATTTTTGCTACAACATTTTCAATTTTACTCACTTTAAAATAATGTCTGTGGGACAACGAATGATGAGAAAAAGTAACAGCTGTATATTACAAGAATTTAAATAATAATAATAATAACTAATCTTATGATCTGTCCTTGTATTTGGAGACTTGTACGATCCTCGTGTATGCCACGCCCCCCTCCTTACCTCGTGTTAATTCCCGATTGTGATCACCTGTTGCCTGTTAGTTTCGCCTTGTCCTGTGTATTTAGTCTGCGACTGAGTCCGTTTTCCCCAGGTTTGTCATTAACATTCGTCCTGTGCTGCTTTAATAAAACCCTTTTTACCCGTATTCACGGCTTCCTTAGTCTGATTCTCCACTCCCTGCTCCTTCGTTTGTGCAGGTCTCAACAACTTGTATGTAAAAAGCCATTTACACATAGATAATAAGACTTCAATATAGACACCATTAAATACCAGCAGTGCTGGGATAGCTGAATATATATGTTGAATGTAGTCACTGGATGGAAGTTACAAGTATGTGCAATTGTTCGTCTAATGGACAAAAAGTCCTTGAGGCAGGTGTGTGACCTCAGATAGTTTGTATGCAAAAAAAGCCAGTATATCCATGTTTTTCATGTTCAGTGTGCATGTCTGAATGGATAATTAAAAAAGAGGGAAATACTCAATTAAGGGACGTTTGTGGACAGGAGTTGGTGGTGCTTTTATTTTGAGAAATCGACATGTTGATTTTTTGCATGTGAAAAATCGACGTGTTGATTTTTTACATCTGAAGGCGTGCAAATTTGACGTCTCTGGCCGTTAATATTTGACGTCTTTAGGCATAAAGTTTTAAGACGTTTTGGCCCCGTTGGCCTTCCATAGTGCACAACCCCACTCGCCTGCCTGCACGCACATGACACTAAGCACTTGTAACATCTACGAAACTTGTGCATTTAGTCTGTCTGCAATTCTTTGCCAGGCCAACTCCCTGGCTTTATTTATGGCAACAGTATTGCCTTTTTTAGCGATTACATCTTTGTATTTTTCATACAGCTCCATCATCAGCGTTTGTTCTGCGGCGGAAAAAAAACACCGCTCTCGTTTTACAGGCTTTCCGACTCATTTGATCGATCTATCATCCATCCATTCATTTGGGCTTCTTAAATACCGTGTTTCCCCAAAAATAAGACAGGGTCTTATATTAATTTTTGCTCCAAAAGACGCGTTAGAGCTTATTTTCAAGGGATGTCTTATTTTCGGGGAAATGCGGTATATCAGGTGTGCACACTAAGTGAGAATATGCAAGTCTGTCTTGTATGAGCCTTGATTAATTAAAGCGGAACTGCGTTAGTGGAACCATGTGAAGCTAAGTTTAGAGATGCCGCTAGTTTGAGTCTGTCTTTTTTGGGAATGCCTGGCTTTCCTTAGCTACTTTCATGAAATACCCCCATGGTCCCCACGTTGAATTTGTAGGTGAGTTGAAAAAACAATATGGTGCATAGTAACAATAATTATACAGTGGTACCTTGGAACAAGAACTTAATTCGTTACAGAAAGCTGGTCGATTTCCCCATAAGGAATAATGTAAATGAAGTTAATCCCCAAAAATTTGCCTATTTAAACTTATCTACCTACTTAATGATAAAAAGCATTAACAATCAACATAAAAGTAATACACACATGAAAAAGCACACATACAAAAGTGATTAACATGAAATTAACAATCCAACGCTCCAAAGCTAGAACAGACACACATGCACCACCTTCTTGCTATAATTTCTCACCTTCATATGTTAATATGAGAAGTCACCTGACATGTGCCTTTGGAGTCAGGGGTAGGTGTCAGAGCTAAGCTCAACAGTTACTCTCACTGCTTTCCTCTTTGGTTTGCTGCTATCACTGCTCACTTTCTTAGGGGCCATGATTACTGTATCACTAAATGTACTATAGGCAAAGCACAAAAAAATTCACACTGAACACAGCTTTTGCACATCAAACTCATTTTCATCGAGGGTAATGTGTTACTGTTTCATCCATATGGGATCATCTGTCACTGTATGACCATCATATTAGATCCTGAGCCACTCAGTCTTTACTAATAAAGTTCTTTATATCACCAGCAATAAAAAATATTGTGGCATCGGGCGGACTGAGGCATCGCGGGAGCACAGAAAGAGATGGAGACTTGCTTGTCGGGGAAGAACTCACTCTTTATTTGCAGTCCTTAAAAGGACCACATCAGGCACCCAACAAGCACCAAACCAATTAGAGACAAGAAACACAAGTTTCTGAATTGATGCTGTACTGTAAGATGCACACACGGTGGGAGATTTACACAAACTAAATATATGCAAGGATCAGACAGGGTACACACAAGACACGGGCAAACACATGTGCAACAATAGGGAAATGTAACCATTAACATTAACAACAACACAACAAGGGTTATTTACAACTGCACACAGGGCATGCTGGGACATGCCCCCCACTGGCGCTAAAATATATACCATTACATTCCTGCATAACAACAATAACAACCAAGTTGGGACAAGGGACACATCTTACAGTCAAACTGTATTGTCGTTATACATATAATTACATTTTTTGCCAAAATGCACCAGCCTACACTGAATTACAATGAAATGTATGTTTGACCCAGTGTTGATATGGGGGATAATTGTACCGCTTGAAGCATCACCCACAGGCACTCTCTGTGATTGGTGGATGTGCCTGGTCACTATCGTGAAGAGAGAGCAGCTGGCTAAGTATTAGCAACAGTGAGGCGGGGTGAGACCTCCATGCTTGTGGCTGAGATCATGGTGGGTTGGGATGAGACCACAGTGGGGTTGGAATTAATTATGGTGACTGGCTGTTGTCGTATCTTCATCTCACGGGCTATTTGGCACCAGGAACACATATTACAAAAGGTCACATACATGCAGTCAGAGCAGATATCCCCCTATAGAGAAATAGAAAAGGTCACTTACAGTATAGATAACAGAGCTAAGACCGCAGAGCTGTTATGATATAGCCTGCATCATCTTTGTTTTGAAAAGTCAACCTTCTTTTTTGGTACAAAAGCAATGTCGCATACATGATTCAAATTTATATATCCCATAATTCCATATATTAGGACAACAGCCCACACCCAACTGATGCTTTATTTTTCGTACCCGGATGCCGAATCGATTTCGCACCCCAACTCTCAGGGCCAGAGAGACAGGGGGAACGCAGGGAATGCCTGACATCTGAAGGGAAATGTTCATGATGTCCACAAGAGGAAGACATAAACACTCCCCAAAGTCTGCAGCTGTTTTGCAGGTGAAGCAGGGAAAGCACCAGTAAGCAGCGCAACCTGGATAAAAGATGGACAGTGCGAACAAAACATTGTCATATAATAAGAATGAGAGTCCACTCAAAACGTCGTCATTAACCCAGATCGAAAAAAAATGCACAGAAACTGTTCTTGCATAATCTAGGTCGAAAAAGAGAGACCACAAAATAACATTCTCACGTAATTTGAATTAAAAGGGAGTGTTCACTGTCTTAATGCAATGCATTCTGATCCTGATGCATTGCATTACGGATAGATGCATTGTGACCTCTCACCCGGCTGCACAAACTGGAGCCGCCTCCGTGACGACACACCTTTGCCCTTATTGGCTGAAGAGTTTAGTTACACGAATGACGCAAAATATAATTATTTGTATAGTTTTTATGTCCTTATGTTCTTATGTATGAGACTTTTGCCATTTTTACTTTGTGGGGGACATTTGGTCCCCACAAAGTAATATAAACCTAATACACACACACACATGGAAAGAGAGTTCAGTAAACTTTCAGAGAAGTTCACAAAAGTATTATTAAATTTCAGCGTTTTGATTTAGATTTTTTTTAATGATTTTTTAAATTATGAAAATGCATTTAAGGAAATGCAAAAAATGTTACAACCGGCCCCACTCTCCCTAATTGTAAGAATAAAATTAGAGATATCTGAAATGCCATATTGTACTAGTAAACCACAAATTCAGATATATAAAATTATAGTTACAATGCAGATACATAAAATTATCATCCCGCCTACTTATTTAATGTTAAAATTCCACAGTCGTCTGTGCAGCAGCTTGTGTTCATACTACATTTGGTGCGGATGTGGATGGTTGCGTTCGGTACATGCATTTAGCAGTGTAATTCCATCAGACCAGCAGAGGGCAGATGTGAAAACACAAATACAAGCAATGTATTGAAACAGGTTGACTTTAATGAACAGCTTTAAACTTATTCAAGGCTTGGGCAGTATTACGGTAATAAGGCAAACCACATTATTTTGAAAATCTTACGACAAAATTAACCAGGACCACAACCCACCCAATTTTATGCTATCATGTGACCCTGCACTGGATTAGTTATTGGAATATGAATGGATATTTTTTTATGTAAAAAAAGGAAAAAACTTTAAGAATTTTCACCCAGCTCCTAGCTAATAGGCTTCACTGTGAGAGGCAACTACAGATGTGAAATATAAGCTGGTGCTGATTTTTCTGACAGTAAAATGTGGGACAGACATGCAGACAGACTGACTCACAGACAGACATGTCATCCAGGCAGTCGAAAATCCCTGTGCTCCATTGGTCTGAGTGCACGGAGGTCGATCCTGGCTGAGACTGCTGAATGATCACGTTTGTTGTCATAGTAATTCCTTCAAGAAGTAGACAGGCAGCTTAATGTTAAACAGGAACATGTCTAGAGAACATGCAGCCATCTCTATGAAATGACAAGGTAAGGAAGACAATGGCTGCCGTGTATATTTATACTGGACATTCCATTTTAATTCAACAAATAAAAAAAGCAAACTTTTTTTCTTCACTTTTTACTTTGATCAAATTTGGAATGTAAATTACATATAACTTCCAGAGCTCCCTAAGGTTTTTTGTTTATGTATTTTTTTAAATTTCCCTTTGAGATATAGCATTCCAGTGACCTGGAATATTTTTTTAACTTTATGGCTACATGACCCAGCTATTACTCCATGTATACAGCAACAGTCATAAAGTAATGGAAAATGAAATAAAGTATAAAATAAAACAAAACAACCAACTATGCCAGAGCTACAGTATCTCATCCCGGCTTATGTCTTAAAAGCAGATTTAAAGACTGATGTAGCTGATAGGCAGATAGCCACAGCAACCGAAAAAGCAGGCTTACCTTTCAGTTTAGTAAAGATCTTGGAACATCTAAAAGATCTCAAGGATCTTGAAGCTGTATGAGGTCTGATTAGATCTGATATATATGATGGGGCTACACCATGTAAATTAGCTCAAAAAGAGTACTTTGTGAAATTTCACTTTATTTTGCATAAGTCTAAATTTCTTTTTTCAAATTCAAAGCCTCAAAAAAGGCATGTGGAAGAGGACTAAAAATTTTTTGCTTAATTTGGAAGAAAGTACTCTTTACCTGCTTCCCAATGGAAACATAGATGGGTTGTTATTTAAAGGGACGCAGGAGTTACAAGGCTTTGAACTTACAAAAAGAATCACTGAAACTATACAATAACCTCACTCGACTTTAATATTTTTATTTCATAAATATAACCTAAAAAGTATACCTAAACTGTAGCTTAAAGTGTGGAAAGTGCATAGTCATACTCAGATTGATTTTTTGAATGTTATGATATTACGTTTTTGTTTTTAATTTAGACAATTGTTCTTACAAAGTGTTAATAAGCATCTCTTAGGTTTTGTTATTGAGGCTCGTCAAGAGATGCATTGCCTTTGGATTGCAGCTATTCCTAATTGTGTTTGTAGTTTTAATAATACATTATTTCAATGCATATTTTGTTTTCCCTTCTGTACCGAAATTGCACTGAACTGAACCCAAAATTGAGGTTTGTACTGAACCGTGAGTTTTGTGTAGTGTTACATACTTACTAAAAATTCACAGGAAATACACTTAATCTAAATCTTATCTTGTACATGTAATTACATAGCCTATCGTAACATAACATGCGGGGCCAAGCTACCATTAATTATACAAGCTACCATTTGGCGCTGGCTAGTCCATAAAGGTCACACTGTAGACTGTCAACAATCGTTAAGTTGCATCTGTATTACAATGACGAAACAGTAGCAAGCACACCTTTGTCCATTACATTGTTTATGTTGGCCTCAGATGAGTACCCAAATAGGTTGGCTTGCCCTGGGCCCCACCCCTCCTCAGAGACAGGCCTGGTAAAGTGTTCTGGAGGACTTCATAAAACTTCTCCTTCATCTTTCAAGATGAAGTTCAGGCAGACAATGGGTCAAGTTTGCAATAAACATTTCTGAATTGTGGATGGTATGTGTAATTCACATGCCAAATTTAATCAAAATTAAAAATGGTGATGCAAAGGACATTTGTTGAATTAAAATAGAATGACTCATACATTTTCAATATGTTTTCTTAGATATGGATCATTTCAGAAAAAAACAAAAGCTGGCCCGCTCTCAAAATTATTCTACTAATTTTTCCAGGGCATAAATTTGAAGTATCAGCCATACAAATACTAAAGAAATTAAGTTTTTACTATTTTGCTTCTATCCAACCAAATTGCATATCTCTACAGATTTACATTATTTGCAACCTTGCTAGATTTGAGACACAAAATTCTAAACTGTTAGCCATTAATCACTTTGAGCATAGAGTGGTCATAAAGAGTGTTGTTATAACACGATAACACACAAAATACTGAATCACACTCACCTGAAGCCGTTTTTTGTCCAGAATGAAAAATCCTTTATGCAAGGGAACTTACAGCTAACAAATGGAGTGTATATATCAGGAAAGAAGACAATTTGAATCAATTTTGCATGTGACACATGATTTCCATACTCAAGCCTGAAGACTCACAGAAAATCATTGGCACATTGTGGTATTTAAGATATCACATGGTTTAAAATGAAGATGTATCTCTTTTTTTTATCTTATTTATTTTTGCTAATAAATATTACTAATAAACACAACTGGGGCATTCTTGTCTCAAAAACAAGTCTTTTTTTTTAAGTAAGAAACACCATAGTAGTAATATCCAAGTATTACAGCAATATCTTATCGAGAAGAGTGTCTGAGGAATAATACATTTATGTTCTATTCTTCACATTCCTCATTTTTTATATATGTATAAATGTGTCATTACAATGCCTTAGGAAAGTTTCATGGGTTCATGACACACATGAAAATGTAAAACCTTGTTTCTGCAGCTAAGATTTGTATTAGACACTTCAAATTCAAATCAGTAATTTGTGTGTAGGTGTGTATTTACGAGGTTTTCTTTTTGATTGCTACGTTGATTTATTTGTGCATGCAGTTACACGTTCTTTTGACTGAATGTTATTTTTATCCATAGCAAAGTTTACCAAAGCAAAGTCTATCAAAACTGTACAAATTTTTTGGTCAATAGTTTGAGTCATGAAATCCCATGCATATTAGAATAACTGTTAATGCCAGTCAAGCTAACAAGATAATAGAAAAAACAGATTTAAAAAAATCACTGAGGATTCAAAACTAACAGGAATAAAAATGAACAAAACAAACCAGGCAAATATAATTAATATGATTTCTCTTAATGGTCCTGTAAAGCACTGTCTGTGAAAAATGGCATATAAATACATTTTACTTATTGCTTACTATAAGACATAAATATAGTGTAGGGCCGGTGGGACTCACGAGCTTTGTATATAGCCCTGTGTATGTCCTGTAGCCCTTGTATCTGTTAGTGTGATTACTTGTGCTCCCGACTGTCGTGTGAGCCATTAGCTATGTCGTATGTGTAATCCTGACGTGCTCTAGGGTTGTGTAATTACCCCCGTGTGCCTTACTGTCCTTAGCGTAACCTCTGTGCTATGCCATTGTGTGCTACTGTATTGCTGTTTGAGTGTGATCCTTTTAAGGACTTCATTAAAAGAGCGACTTTGTGGAATTCCACTTCTCCTTGTGTTGGTTCACCACTGCCATCGCAATGCCTCAGTCTGCCTGATACCACAATAATAATTATCCTGGTGCAATGTAAAATTAAAAGAAAATACAATTGTTGTTTTTGAAATAATTTAGTACGTAAGGCAAAACTAAAAGTCATTGCTGAAACCGGATTAGCTACATTTTCTTAAAATATGCTTCCTCGCTTGGTTTTTCCCATCAAAAATCTTTGATCTGAACTCCAGAGGTGCTCACAGTGTTATCCTGCGGTTTCCCATATAATCCGAACTTGGAAGTTTTCCACATTCATTGTTTGTCACCTGATTTCACACACTGATTAAGCACAACACATAGCTCCTAACAATCTTATCAATCAAAGCAAATTTAAGCTGTGTGAGCACAATAAACGTTTTCACTATAAAGGGTGCCATTATTCATTTAAAGCCAGACAGGTTTAGAAAAATCTTTAAGGGCAACTTGCCATTGAACACCCCACTGTACAAGGCAGTGGTGTCAAACCCACTGAAAGGGTCATATAAAAAACTAATGAATTTGCGGGTTGACCAAAGCTTATTTAGTTAATAACAGTAAGACCCACATTAAACACTATTCCCAAATTAAATGTAATGCATCCACTGGGCAGAAACGATTATTCTGCTTTTATCTGAAATTATGCACTGGGTCCTTCATTTAAATGAGAAATAGGAGTTTAATCATAAGGATTTAAAACGAACATATTATAACTGTAACATTTTGAATTTTATGCTAACTCGCTGCTGTCAAACATGTCAATGGGGGAAGGAGCGGAATGAGGAAAGGTGTAGTGCAGGTGCACACAGGGTGATTCCTACTTCCCATAGGTAAGGCTGTATTCAGTGTGTGCCATTCAGTTACATCATTTTCAGTTTGGTATGTACAATGTAACAAATTAATGCATTTCTTGACACAGGCAGAGCCTGAATTCACAAGTAGATGTTAAACACAGAAAACATTGGGTACAGCTAATGCTGGTTACGGTCAAACATAATGGGGTGGTTTAAGAACATTTTGGTTTCTCAATAAATTACATCAGCACTGGAGAGAGAGAGTGAGAGTAAATGATTAGACCAAGACTGTCTGTCAGCTCTGTTATATATGCTGCTGGAAACATATCCAACATGCTAACTGTTATGGTGGGGCATAATGGAGACGCTTGGCAACTCCAACAAACCAGGGTTTTATTAACAAAATTGGTACAAAGGGAGGATCAGTAATCAAAGGGACCACAAGGGGTTAAAATTAAACTAAGGCCAGGAGCAACACCGGGAACAATAATACCAGAGGAAGGGAGGAAAACAAGATGCTACAATAACTAAAATGGGGTAACCTCAACTAATAATCACACAGCAACACAGGGAAACAGCCACAATGAATCACTGAGTAACAAGAGCAGGCACTTAAATATACAGTGGTACTTCAGAACTCGAATTTAATCCGTTCAGAACCCCGGATCGAATCCTAAAAAGTTCGAGTTGTGATCGAATTTTCCCCATAAGAAATAATGGAAAACCAATTAATTGTTTCCCGGCCCCAAAAAATTACAACTAAATATGTTTTTTTTTTTTTAGCATTTAAACACAAAATGAACCGGATAAAACAAGAAGAGCATATACTGTACTAAACACATCTAAGCACATTTATCAAAACAGTAATTTGTAAAGTAAGAAAATGTATCCAAACAATGTGTCCTGCCCCGATCGTCCACTCCTTCCGTGTGCCACGCCCCCTCGTTAACCCCGTGTGGAATCCCTGTGTGATCAGCTGTTTCTGGTTGTTGTCATTAGTCCTTTGTATTTAGTCAGTGTTTCAGTTTGTTTCCCCAGTTTGGTCATTTTATTGTCCGTCTGCGTTTTGCTTGCCTTACCCGTAATTAAACCCCGTATTCCCCAATACCCTGATATCTGCGCCTTTGTCTCGGTTCTGTCCCCGCTCGGTAGGGCAATATTATTATAATTAAAGGTATTAATGGTTTATTATTAATATTAAATAATTAATAAGAAATCTTTATTTTTAAGTGTATTTTATTATATAATAATAATTACTGTTACTGTCTGTCATTGTCTAAATGTATTTTTACTGTCTACATATTTATATTCAGCAAGTATAAACATGCACGATGCTATCATAGCGAATGCCAGGCTGAGAATGAAGCATTACCCTTTGTTTCCGCTGAGAGAACCAGATTGGAGTTAATGGGACAGTGGCATTTTAACCAACTGGGGGCAAGACAGACAGATGGGGAAAGTGGACTGACACGGGCTTACATGGGTGAGCAGCTGGGCTGAGCGACGGTATGACAACAGCTGGCGAGGCCAGGGCAGTGATAGACGGAGACAAGACAGGACAAACAGAGGTGGAGATTACAGTCCTCTGGGGAATCTATCACAGACTTGTGGGTGCTGGGATGGTTGTTCTGTGGGGTGCCAATGGCATCTATGCCCTGGTGATGCTTCTGGGACATAAAAAAGGTGGGGACGAGGCCCATTGCTGCGTACCCATGAACACCAGACGGGTTCTGACAGCACAGGCTCAGGGGTGAGGATGGGACAAGTGGCAGCCCCTTCTGGGCAGAGTTCTGTAGGCTTGGGATGAGCGATGGCCCCTCCAGGGCCGGGATCTGGAGGATCAGGACAAGTGCGTGCACCCAGCTTCTTCTGCTCCCTCCTCTTGGGACAGGGGCCAGACGTGCCAGTCACAGAGGATGAGGAAAACCCCTTGTTCTCCACAGGACCTGGAACAGCTGTGACTGGGCGGCGATCTCCCCTGGGCTGGTGACTTGGGATTGTGGCTGGATACCCAGCATCAAAGCAGTGCTATTGTTTCAGTTTGTTTTCCCTTTTTTATATACAGGGTATTTGCAACCATGGCACAGGCTTTATCAAATACACTGAAATTAATTGCATATCATTTACAAATTTAAGAAAATCTGCAAGAATAAAATGGAGCACGGAGTGGTGAAACTATTCCAACTACCATGGCTACCTATTCCATTGCAAGTTCTGTCCTTTTTAGCCACAGGAGCTTTTAATGTAATCTGGCTGACTGATAGGTATATTTCCGTCATCACCGAGTTGTGTCATGCCAGATGTTTTGGATGGTATTATCCGCTTCTCATGCAGATATGTAAGATTTCCGTACACTGTGGCTGAACAGGCAAACATTCAAACAACAATTTGCAGCGGTTTCCCAAATGAAATCGGAGCTATCGTCTGCATGCATATTGCTCAAAGGCGCCTTTACAGAATGAATTTGCTTATGTAAATAGAAAGTATTTCCACTCTATTACTGTGCAAATTATTTGTGATGCGAAAATGCATCTCAATGATGTGACGAGATGGCCTGGTTTAACTCATGATTCATTCATTCTGAGAAACAGAAGCAGGGGGTACAAACTCGAAAATTATGTAAGGTATTTAATATTACGCATTTGGTCAAATTTGTAAGTCATCTGTATGATGTAGCCATATAACATGATTATTTTGAAGACGTGGCTTCTCACCCCATTCGCCAACCCACTGACTGAAAAAGAGTGACATTATAATGACCTCCACTCTTGGGCTCGGGTGGTGGTAGAACGTATTATTGGACAGCTTATGGACCGTTGGTGCTGCCTGGATAAGAATGGTCGAGTGCTGCTCTATAGTCCGCAGAAAGTGTCACATTGTGCAAGCATGTAGTATGCTGCATAGTGTGGCACACAATTGTGGCTTCCCCGTACCTGATGCGATATGATGAACCTGACCCATCAAAATGCTCAACCAAATCAGACAGGGTTACAACTTTGTCTGAATGTAATTAGCAGATTGTTAAAAGAGATACACAGAAGCAGCACTTTTTTTTACCAATTCTTTTAATGTTTGGTTACTATCACATAGTACAGCATTTATATTCTTTTTTTGGCCACATCTCTTACAGCATCCACTATTGCATTTTGTGTGACTCCAGAACAGCACATGGTCAGATGGTTGCCTGGCCGTTTCCGAGGCACAAGAGTTTGCGCAGCCAGCACCTGAAGATGTGCTTGGCCCTGCAGCACCATCACCATCTGGAGTCACATCCCTGGCACGGGGATCATGTTTTGAAATTTTACCTGAAACAGAATAAACAGTAATACCACATCTACTGCCTCACACCTCTTGGACTAAGGTTCCATGTGTGTGGAGTTCGCATGTTCTTCCTGTGTTGTTATGGGGTTTCCTCTGGGTACTCCAGTTTCCCCCCACAGTCCAAAAAAATGCAGAGGTTAATTGGAGTTACTAAATTGCCCATGGGTGTACATATGTGAGTGTATGATGCATGAATGTGCCGTGCGTTGGGTTGGCGCCCCATCCTGGGTTGTTTCCTGCCTTGCACGCATAGTAGTAGTTGTTTATTTGGTAACGCATTAGATTAAGTGCACCTTCATAAATATATATAAATGAAATGTCATGTTTACCAGTTTGAAGTATATTTTTGTACTTCATTTTAATTTGTTCCCATGTCCTAAATGATTGTACTTATATTTGATCTGTAATTATCACAATAAAATAATAATGAAACATTGGAAATGTAATACTACATTCAAGTGATAAATACAATAACTAAAAACTACTTACACATTTAATTTGTTGGACACTTTTTGCCAGCCGTCTTTTCCGGTTTGGGCCGCTTTTGATGTGTTTACTTTAGTACATATTAAATCTTTGAATTCATCATACCCTGTTCGGATTGCGTGAAAAATTCTGCCCTGTTTTTTGACGTTTTGTGGAAGCCAATGAGTTTC